GGCCTGGCGCGGGGGCCGGAGTCACGAGGCCGCCCGCAGAGACGTCGCGTGCGGGCCTGGCGACAGCCCAGCAGGTGGTGTGACCTTACTCAGCGAGGCCTGGGCTCCTTGGCTTCGTCGGAGCGCGGCCACGGAGATGGCACCGCGTAGTATACCGGGGCCCCACCCTTGCGAGCGGGCTGCCCGTAGATCCACTTTCCCAATTTGACGCCGCTGTCCGCTCATTCTTGGAGAGAACAGCTTTGGACAGAAACCCCAAAAGGCAGGAGCAAATTTGTTTGAAAATCTTGGCTGTGGCGTGCAAACAAGTTCAGAGGGATTTTTGAGGCACAGCTACAGACTGAGCTGGTTTACTGCACATTATAAATGGAAACTTTTTTTTTCCTCCGTGTTTTTAAGAAATCCTGTTGCAAGGTCATTAATCACATTATCCATTATACCAGAAACAAATGGATTTGTCACTTGTGCACAGAAGCTGAGGTTGATGCTGAAAACAAATTGTATCAAAATAAATGAAATTATTATGATAATATAAAACAGACCGCAGTGATTAATCTCCAGAAACCAAATTTTGACCTGCTTTGCACTTCAAACAATAGCTTCCGTTATGTAAATAGTCGTGGGGTTTTCAAGGACAATGTTACTAAATTACGAGGAAAGTTCTATTCGTGGAAATCTCGTCATGGATAAACATTAGAGCCAGCAAATCTGTTCTCCACAACACCCAAAGCAGAGGACAATGGAAGTGATGATGGCTCAGGTAAGAATATAAGTTTGTAAAAAAGGTATGAGGTGGGGAGGAGGGAGACTGGGTAATGGGCTTATGCTGCTGCTGGTAGGGGTCACCAGGAGGCATCAGCTTCACCTAGTAAGCATGACCTTGAACGGGCTCATTCCTTCTACATCCTTACTTAAGCTCCTTGAAAACCCCGAAAGTTCCAGCGAGCCCACATATACACAGGCTGCAGTAATGAAGGCAGTCAGGTTGCAAAACATGTTAAAAAATGTTACGTTTTAGATGATGCCATAAAGGCACCAAATCCAGACATGTTCAGAATGATCCAGGTAAGGATTTCGCTCTTCAGTTTTCACTCCATAGGTTTGATGATTTTTCCTGAGACCAAAGTGGATCTTAATTGGATGTCAAAATAGAGTAATTAGCCTATATTGTTCCCATACATCCATTCTTGACGCACACCGATGACATTTACGTTCGCAACTACTTGAAATGGATGCTTGTTCCTTTAATAATTAAATAAAGTCAAGTGTATTTCCAGAATCCTAATTTTCTCATGAACAAAGAAAGCAGTGTGTAAGAAGGCATAAAAATAACAAAGCATATATCCGAAAATAATTACTCTTAAAGTTCTCAAAAGAGATTCCAGTACGGGAAATTGTCAGTGAAATTGCCAAAGCCCGGAGAGAGAGACCCAGGCATTTAAGATGTTATTTCCTTTGGAGGCAGTATAATTAGAGGGCTTAGTTCACAGGGTATATGCTATTTAGGGTTTGACTTTGGCTTGCTGGTGCAGCAGAGTCTGCTGGCTTAGGAACAGGGGAACTGAGTCCTCATGCCCACTCTGTCACTAGCTGAGTGGTTTGGGGCAAGTCATTCCTCTTCCCTGGACCTCAGTTTGCTGTGTATCAGGTAAGGGGCTTAGACTAGACTCTTCCAAAGACCCTTCTGGGGTCTGATAGTTTGGAAAAGAATCACTGTTCGGTGTGACGAACGTTCCGGAGCCTTGTCCTTTCTGTTTGTGTTACGAACCACCTGTAGCCCAGGAGGAGTATGGGAAGGCGGGGTGTTTGCGTATCCGGCGGATAAACCTTCACACAAAGATGTGCCGTAGCTGTGGTTGAGACCTGCTCTCGGCAACATGAAAGCTTGCCCTTGGTTTACTCACGGCACAATACTGTCTACCTGCAGGATCCCACACATGTGACTCATGCTGTCCATAAGGATGGTTATGCGAGTGGCTGAGACCAGGGCCCACAGATTTTCCTCCACTTGAAAAGTCGTGCCGATCCTGCCACAGTGAATCAGCTCCACCTAATCTCTTCGTGTAACTGATGCTGCAGCATAGTAACCACCCACTCATTCACTATGTCTCCTGGCTCCCAGGTCAGCTGAGAGCCCAGTATGGACTTAAACCGTGTGCTGGAAATCCTGATGAGCTCATTCCGCCTCCATTTTATTGCCCCATCTGTTTGCTTCCCTTGTTCTTCTCACATGCATTTTTATCTTGGTCTTCTGGGAAATGTGCTAATTTCCACCACGGTGTCAGAGGATCCCATCTTATACTTTTCTTACATTTCCTCTTCTCTTTCTCGGTGCCACTTGGGAAGTCAGGAATGGGGGTGTGAGCTCAATAACAGAATCCAAGGACAGCTTTCTGTGAACATGACTCAGGAACTGTCCTCCCTACTGAATTTCAGTTGGGAGGGGAACTAAGAGCGTGTGTGATGTTTTGGGATGTTTTTGTTTTGTTTAATTTTTTTTCGATCGGACTCAGTGCAGATACAACAGAATTTGGAGGCTTTTATGCCTCAAATGCTAAGACCTTTTCAAGAGTGAATTTTTCACTAGACTGAACTGCATGGTAAAGTAGAACATGCTTGAGCTTTGGAGTCTTGTTTCAGCTCTTGTTTCGATCCTAGTTTTATAACTTGCCATTTGACCTTGAAAGGATAGCTTAACCTCCCTGAGCCTCATTTTTCTTATCTCTAACACCAAAGCTAAATTTACTGCAAAGTCTTATTGTCAGGCTTGAGTAAGATAATGTACATGAACATGTAGGGCATATAACAGGTGCACAAAAGATGCTAACTGTCCTTTTTTTTTCTCCTTTTCTCCACCGAATTTGGAGCTGAGTTATATGTTCTTTCAAAAACAACTTAAATTTTTACCCCTTTATTTTCTACAATATCCATTTGGAATTAAAACAAGAATTCTTGAGAAAGAACAGGCCAACCTCTCTGGAGGAAAGAAAGGCAAGGGATGAGAACTCCAGGAAAATTTACTGGTGTCTCAACAAGAGAAAGTTATCCTATCCTCGTGTGTGTGTGTGTGTGTGTGTGTGTGTGTGTGTGTGTGTGTGTGTGTGTTAAAACGAAGCATTGTTTTTTAACTTTAATCGCAAGATTCAATCGAACTACTTCACACCTACACTAACTTCAAATATATTACGAAACTATGTGCTTGAACCCAACTAAAAGTTTTATAGTCCTTAACATTTCAGTGATTCTGAGTTTGTATTGCTATAGGATCCTGATAGATTAAAAGCCCCCAGATAAAGCAAATGTTCTTTCTTCAGTGCATCTGGGTTCTTCTTGAATAACATTTCTGGTTTGATTTTGTGATATGAGACATTGAGTTTCAGAAAATGCCCTTGTACAAGTATATGATCACACATGGCTGGAAAGCCATGATTTGGGGATTGATTGTTAATACTACCCAATAGACTTCAACAAACAAGAAAGGCTTCTGGGGGCACCCCCTGATTTTAGGCAATAGGACAAGTTGCTGGATAAACTAGAGACACTATCTTAGCTTAGTTTTTAAAAGTAAAGGACTGGGGATGGGAGGAGGCTGGAGGAAGGTTTCCTTGAAGCAGATACTTGAAGAATATGGTCTGAATTATTTTGTATTAGGAAACACT